TTTCAATTTTAATTGTCATCGTTTCAGCTATCTTGATGCATCGTCAAATTTTTTTATCGTCACTAATTCAATAACTAGCGTGGTAGACTTTTGTTTAGAGAAAATGGCGACGTGTTGTGAAAGATGATCCACCATTTTTTATGCAGACCTTTTAGTTTAGACATTTTTATTTAATATTTATTATATTGTTAACATGTTTGGGAGCAACTGTGTTTTGAAACGTGTTACATAGAGGCGGCCATTTTTAATAGGTTGAAAATAATATGAAATTTTAGTAGGTTGAATTAAATATAAAATTGCAATACACGAACTTAGGATGTACATGTAAGAATAATAATGATCTAGTAAAGTGTATTAGGGTGACTTTACATTTATTTCGTTCGAACAATTATTATTGTATGCTGCTTTATAGCAATTGAGTTGTGATAACTCAATATTAAATGTGTTAATACCTATTTTTCAATTTTTTATTTATATATTAAATTTTATGATGTTCGATAATTATTAGGTCGAGTCATAAGTAACTTCCGTTTTTTTATCAGACATTTATTTCGTTCTCATTAAACAACAAAATTATATTATTTTATTATATATTCACCACTATTTTCGATAACCTTCTCCCATTTTTCTGGTAGTTTATCAATTCCTTCCTTGTAAAATGTGGTTGGTTTGGACTGGAAGAAGCTTTCAACAGCCTGCCTGACTTGCTCTTCAGAATTGAAGGTTTTTCCATTTAAAAAGTTTTGTAAGGAACAGAAAAGGTGGTAGTCTGTCGGGGCAAGATCTGAGAAGTAAGGTGGATATGGTAAAACAGACCATCCAAGCTCAAGAATTTTTTCTTGAGTCACCCTTGTTGTATGCGGTCGCGCGTTGTCGTGTAAAAGAATGACATTTCTGCGATTGACGAGTGCAGGGTGCTTTTCTAGGAGCTTCTCTTGCACTTTTTGTAATTGCTGAATGTATTTATCCGCAGTAATCGTTAAATTTGACTTCAACAACTCGTGGTGACTTATACCTTCATAATCTCACCATACACACAATAAAATCTATTTAGCTGCATCGGAAGTTACTTATGACTCGACCTAATAGAATTTGCATTCATTCTTTTTAAATTGATATTGTGTTAATCTAACACAAGTTAGGTATAGTATGCTGTAATTCTTTAATATTGTAGAAGTAGTGGAGTCTCTTGGTGTGTCGCCATTTTCTAGGAAAGTCTGCCATACTTGTACATTTAACACATTCACTACTAGTTTTATATACTAAACACTATTCGAATAATTTTCTAATACAAATTTAAAATAAAATGTTTGAGAATAAAAAATTTTTACTTTAATTATGTTCGAAGATATTCAAATATATAATATTAAAGTGAAATTATTTCAAAAGCAATAAATAATTTGCAAGATGTATGAATTTTTATTTGATAATGAGTGCGGATAGTGAACGTGTTAAACATAAAAATTATTACGAGACTCATTCAAAGATAATCGAATTTTTGAAATACCGTAAAAATGTTATTATTCTCGAAAATTTCTCTATAAAGATCAAGACTTACTTGAACAAATTAGTAGTCCCAGATAAATAAATAAAATATATAACTTCTCAGAATTAATAAAATTCTTAAAATAATTTGTTCTGTTCGTATTTAAAATTACAAGATTCATTTCGTTGAATTAATAATTGTCTTCATTTCATTAATAACATGAAATTTTTTGGTGAAATTGAGATACAAGTTAGATTAATAAGTTTAAATTGTTTCTGTGGATACAAAACAGCAATGTATCTTTCTTCAGAATAGAAGAATTATATTCAAAATATTTATTAAAAAATTCGATTATTTTTTATATAAATCTCAAATGTGAACAGAATCGAAAGAAAGTATTATCTGGTGAAATACAGGTGTGAAAAAGAAAACTATACCAGCGAATGGGGTGAACTTCAGACCTGAGCATTTAAAAATGACATCATTTGAAATACTATTCAATTTATTTTAATCACTTTATATTCAAAATGCAATCGTGTTAAATTATTTCAAGAAATAATTCTGAAAATAATAGGAATTCAAACTTACAATTTTGCATTCGAAATCAGCTAAAACTTATTTCTTAACAAGTTATTAGTTCTCAATAGATTATAAAATTTATTTCCATAGAAAATTTAGTGCAGAAATAAAAATGAATTATATCAAGTTTTTATCATATATTTATATGTAATCTCTACGAGAAAAGCAAGAAAAATATTAATTCACACTTATAAAATTAATATTTCAGAAACATTTTCATTCTACAAGAAATAAATTTTTTTTAATTTTGTACAAAAACGAATACAACATGTTCCGCAATAAAACAATTCAAATAATATCAATAAAATTATTTCTTGAAATAAAACATTTCGATAGTATTATTTCAACGATTAATTCTTAAAAAAAATATTTCAATTGCATCGTTTCAACAGCTTTTTAACCCGAATCCGAAATAAAGAATTAATTAAACATTTATCATATTTTCGAATAACGGTGTCGAGAACAGCGGATCAAAGTATTATTTGAAACAGACATTTTTTGTTTTAATATCAAACAAAATTTGCCCAGGTGCTGCTTCCGTTCAAATAAATCCACCCCCATCTGATTGGGTTTCAAACGAAATACGAACTGTGGTTTCGATGCATCGCTAGTCCCGTTTCGTTCGTTCGAGCACACACCGACCATTTTTACTTTATACTTTATCAGAAATGGGCAGTGATGAAAAACGTTTAAATATATATTTCGCTCGGGGTATCGTCGTCACCCGACGCGGACGCTTTGGTCCAGTCATTGCAAAATGTTACTAATCACAATAAAAATTCGGTATCTTGGATTCCATCGAATGGGAAATCAACAAACCCTCTCTTCCGCCATTACTCTCCCGATCTTTGAAACTTTTTTTCGCGTCGTTACAGACTATGCTTTGTTCTCTCTCTTTAGCAGCACGCAGTCTTTACGAGCTAAATTTCTTACACCACGATTAATAATAATAATAATAATAATTCACTTACCTGTCACAAAAATAAATACTTTTAGTGTATCGCTTAATCTACTCTCTTATCAATTAGAAACGAGCCCCGCTCAACATGGCCAGCTGCTCCAGCGGGTACTTACGATATCTCTTTTATATACTTTCTACATTTCGAGTTAAATTTATTTTCTTTCCCTTTTTTCTAACGTTCAACGTTTCGAAGCATGCCTAACACTTTGACTGCCACTCAATCTGGGTCCAAAACGACCAATCGATTTATTCGTTACACGTGTTGATAACGAAGGAATCAATAAATTATCGCGGAAACTGTAAAACTTCGTTTACTGGAATATGTTCAAATTTGATAATCAAATTCTTGTGATATTAAAAGTTCCAATATAGTTCTCTGTTCGACTGCTGAATTTCGGTAAATAGGACTTTTGGAAATGATGAACAAATTGTGTTAATATTGAAATGATAGTGTCCTATATTTGGACATTATAACTAAACTGCAGATATGCAGCTTAATGCAAAATATGCAAAGTAGATGTAAAATTTGTAGATACAGGAAATAACGTAATGAATCATTTTGGCAGAAATATAGCTGTTTGGGAAAATGAAACACGAGGGAGCTAATAATATATCTTATTTGTCAATTGTTTCATGACCCAATTATGTATGCGAAAACCAGCTGAATATTCATGATACACATATCCAAAAAATTTGCAATATGCATGAAACATGCGAAGTGCAAAATATACTTGTATATCTAGCAACTTGTAACAAAACAGATTACTGTCTGTTGTGTTTTCGAGTTAGCCAGAAAGTTGGCTCTGTATGTATAAGGTCTAACTAAACAATATTTTAATATTTTTTATCTTTTGTTGCTTTTTCATATGGAATACAGTTTGACAATGACAAAATTTGCACGAATTTTTTTAGTTAATTTTAGCTTCTTAATTGATTTGATTAGCAATTTTTTGATGCAGAGGAAATTATTTCCCTTTTGTACTTTTAATACAAAGTCCATTTCAAAAACGTTAGAGCACATGCCGATACAATTTTTTAAATAAAAATATACATGTATATTTAAAGATTCTGATTGAAAATGTTTCTGACTAAAATTTGATCAATCTGACAAGTTTGTTATGTCGAATTTAGAGGTTGAGTATATAAAGTTTGATAAATATATAATTGAAATCGAATAACAAATCTTTCACTCGATGTAAAATTTTACTTATGTGAAATTACTTAATCTTAGGAGATAATATTTTTGAATTCCAATGAACGAAGTTTTGCCATATTTCTATGAACTCATCATGGCAGTCAACGTGTTAATCCGACGAGATTCATTTGTTAACGTCTCGTTGTGCAGCTGAAAGTTTAACGATGATCCGCGATCGTCTCTTAAATAATGGACAAAGTCTAAATTCATTTCATGATTCACGATCGCGGACGGAATTTGAAATTCGAAGCCTAACATGCTCTTGCAGCAAACAATGGTGGTATCAAAAACGAAATTAAAGAAACTACATTGTGGAAGAAATAAAATAATAGTGAGCAGATCATATCTGTTTCATGTAGTTTTGGTTATCAGGTCATTTCACGAGTAATGTTGTTATGTTGTTTGGTAATATTGATTAAGTGACAAGGTTAAATTTGATCCCGTAGAAGTTCAATTTATGGATAGCAATATTATTGAATTTTCTGATAAACATAAATATGAAAGTAATTATTATAAAATACTATTCAGATGTTAAAAGGTCAAATTTAACCCTGTTATTTAAGCTGTGGTAAATTAACTATTACCTTGTTAATTTTTCATCAATTCAAATTTTTACTTAAACTTCAAGAACCAAGAATTTATAATTCACAATTTCTTAAAATTAATTTAAAACTCAGTAATCGATACTGATTTATTAATTTATTGATTTATGAATTTATATCGTAAACAAGTGATTTAATCGCAGAAAAGTCTTGTTATAACAGGCGCACCTGCTTCGTTATACAAATATTTGTGTAACTTAAAAAATGTAAACTCCAATATGTTTTCAAATAACATTATTCGTGAAATCACCTGACAAATACAAATAGCGATACGTGCCTACGCAATAAACGGGCTCGTAAAAAAATACTTTGGTCAGAAACTAAACTACAACACTACTATCCACATTACAATACCGTGCAAATGAGTTTCCCAAAGTAAGATCCCTCGTCGAAGAAACGAATGAAGAAAAAATTCGTAATCGTACAAAGCTAAGCTCAATTATTGTTTCTCATATAAATACTCTGTTTCGAATATCTGTGCTTCTCTATACAACTATTCTCTGGAACGAACAATGCCGCGTACAATTTACTCCTCAAACGGCACATTTCTTTCAACAATTTTCCCCCTTATTTTCCCTCCCTTTCGTGTCGCGAGTGCTACAATAATATAACCCGTTCTGCCATTAAACATCGACTCTCACGCAATTAAATCTCTTCGTTAATCCTTTCGTCAACCATTAAGAATAACATTTTTTCTTTTCTGTCTCTATAATTAGCTGCATGTTTGTTCATCGTTTGTAGCGCGCGTCCCTTAAAAACGAACCATTTTAAGTTCGTAACAATAATATCCACTCGTAACTACTAACAACCATGTTAATATCGTTCTTCTGTGTGTTACGTTATTTTTTTTTTGTAGTTTTTTGTTTTTAGTAAATCCTCGTTCAACTAACCCTTTCTCGTCTAGCGATACGCATACGTGGAACTAGAACTACGGATTCTCGAAAGAGCGATCTCTATTCTTTGCCCTGGGCAAAACAGACGTTCCGGCATCCTATGACCTTTGCTCGATCTTTTTTTTAAGTTTAACGAGTTGTGAGAGAAAAATGTATGTCGGTTTCTCCGGAGACGCGTCGACCAATCCCCTTCGGAAATTCATGGCGAGCCTCGCTCGAGATCTTCGCGATACATCTTGAGGAAATGCATCTGGTCCAGAAGGTAAGGTACAACGTTGAGCGATTTATTCCAAAAGAATCGAGAAATCATGTTCAGGTCCATGGCGTGTATCGTGGTCGCGCCGAGTGTCAGAAGGCCGTGTCCAACGCCGCCATACTCGTCGAGATATCAGGATCCGCTTGGCACGCTTCTAAAAATTCTGACAACGTCACCACACCGTCCTTGTTACCGTCCATCTTCTGCAACAGTCATAAACGTTTATGGTTACGATGAATCCCCTCGAGTATACACTACCGAGTGTCGCACGAATTGAATTTGTTCCGTGTAAGAAGATTTACTTTTTCACGACCGCGTTCTTTGTTCCAAGTGCTGTTGTTCATTCTGTCGTAAAGAATGTGGGATATGAAAGGGATCTTGGGTTATACTGGACACGTTAAAATCTTGAGTTTTTATGTTAGTAAATTATCAAATTATTTGCAAGTTTTTTGAGATCTAAAGTTCTATGTTTGAACCTTCAAAATTTTGGATTTGCAAAATATTTTCGTATCAGAAAATTTTTAAATGAATTTATGAAAATCTAAATTTTTGGTATCAGTACATTTGTTAATGGATTTATAAATCTGTGTAAATTTCTCTAAAATTTGTAAATGGATTAACAAATTTTAATTTGTAAATATTATATGTGATATTTTTATTTCGGAACTACTCCTGTTTTTCGAATAAGTAAGATAGTAAGTCTAACAATTTTATATTTCTATATAAAATATGGAATTAGGAAATTTACCACTTAGATAACTTGATATATCTATATTAGTAAATGTTTAAATTATCAACTTTTTAAATTAGTAAATTTGTAAATAAAAATAATGGATATTTTTTGTATGATACATCAAATCAATAAATTTAGAACATGAAAATATATTTTTGTACTTAAATTTCTAAATTTTAAAGTTGTCAATTTCCAAATTTCTTAATTTTCAAATTTGCCAACTCCTAATTTTCCCAGCTCCCAATTCCCAATTTCCAATTTTCTCAATTACTAATTTCCCAATTTCGTCAATTCCCAATTTCCCAAATTCTCAATTTTCCCAATTCGAAATTTCCTAATTCCCACATTCCCCAATTCCCACATTCCCCAATTCCAACATTCCCCAATTCCAACATTCCCCAATTCCCACATTCCCCAATTTCTACATTTCTCAATTCCCAAATTTCCCAATGCCAAATTTCCCAATTCACAAATTTCCCAATTCACAAATTTCCCAATTTCCGAATTTTCCAATTCTCAAATTTCTCAATTCCAAATTTCCTGATTCCCACATTCCCCTTTCCCAATTTCCACATTCCCCAATTCCCACATTCTCCAATTCTCACATTCCCCAATTTCTACATTTCTCAATTCCCAAATTTCTCAATTTCCGAATTTTCCAATTCGAAATTTCCTAATTCCCACATTCCCCAATTCCCACATTCCCCAATTCCCACATTCCCCAATTCCCACATTCCCCAATTCCCACATTCCCCAATTCCCACATTTCCCAATTCCCACATTCCCCAATTCCCACATTTCCCAATTCCCACATTCCCCAATTCCCACATTTCCCAATTCCCACATTCCCCAATTCCCACATTTCCCAATTCCCACATTCCCCAATTCCCACATTTCCCAATTCCCACATTCCCCAATTCCCACATTTCCCAATTCCCACATTCCCCAATTCCCACATTTCCCAATTCCCACATTCCCCAATTCCCACATTCCCCAATTCCCACATTCCCCAATTCCCACATTCTCCAATTCGCACATTCCCCAATTTCTACATTTATCAATCAACTCCCAAATTTCCCAACTCCCAAATTTCCCAACTCCCAAATTTCCCAACTCCCAAATTTCCCAACTCCCAAATTTCCCAACTCCCAAATTTCCCAACTCCCAAATTTCCCAACTCCCAAATTTCCCAACTCCCAAATTTCCCATTTCCCAAATTTCCCAATTCCCAAATTTCCCAATTTCTCAATTTCCGAATTTTCCAATCCTCAAATTTCCCAATTCCAAATTTCCTAATTCTCATATTCCCCAATTCCCACCTTGTTCAATTTGCATATTGTCCAATTCCCACATTGTCCAATTCACACATTGTCCAATTCCTACATTCTTCAATTCTCACATTGTTCAATTCCTACATTGTCCAATTCCCACATTCCCAAATTCTAAAATTTCCAAATTGTAAGTAGCATAAATCCCACATCACTAAATCTTACAATTATTGCATTTCTCCTCTAAAAAATGTGATATTTCATTATTTTAACATTCTCCAATTAAACATATCTCGCCCACATTTCCCCTGCAGCTTCAAATTACCACAAAAGCAGCTTTATCATAATATTCCATTATGGAATCACATTAGACATTCTATGTTCGAAAATTGGGTACTTGATATGCAACACGATTCGCGAGCACGCAATCGATACTTTTTCCCATTACCAAGTTCTAATTATGGTGAATCAATACAGTATCCATCAATACGTCCGTACGGCTCTCTCTCTCTTTAGCGAGCCACTGCGAACAAGAATCGATTATCTCTGATCGTATACTCCGTGTAAATACATGAAAATTGAGTTCTGTTCAACACAATGGTAAATCTGTTGTTGAGAATCGAGGATTGCAAAATCATCGTCGATCTCTGTTGGACCTGAATTAAGCTTCTAACGCTTCTATAAAGGGAACGGGAATTCATTAGCATGGTCCGCTGTTTCCGGATTAATTGAACTCATGCTTAACAACAACCAACGGTCCATCATCGGGCTTCAACAATATCATTCACACTGTAGGTGGTTATTGAGATTGCATACGCCATACGAGATTTCCATCGATCGTTATGTGTTTGTTCGGTTTGTGATATTCCTACTTTGATATGTCACAGATGTCAATGCCAATTTTGCTCACTTTTGTTGTTACACCTCTCACTTTCAGTTCTGTTCAAATAATTCTACTTCTATTTACTTTTATAATTTCTGATTGTTAGAATAGAATCAATATATTAATTAATTGGTTGATAAGTGCACCATTTTTAGGTTATTTCTTTTATTTTACATTTTGTGTTCGAGCGTCAATTTGCGAAATGTCTCCGTACAAGTAACATGCGTTCGTGTGTTTTCTTCTGTAAAAAAGAAAACTGTGTCTTCTGTATTTTTTTGTAATAAATATATTCTGTTAAGTGTACTCGGAAAATGTAAACATTTATTTGCAATTCACTGTACTTCAAACTCTGGCACTAATTATGTGTAAAACAAGTATGACGCATAAATTAAAATGGTATTTTTAGGAAATGGTACATCGAGTTTGGGTCATATAATTATGTTGGGTTCATGAATTTTGAAATTATTTCGTCATTTTAGCTTGGTATTGCAATTATTGGTTTATGGAATAATTTTGGTACGATGCTGTAATTAATGGTCTGGAAATATGGACACAGAGACTTGCGAGGTAATTAACATTGTACGAACAAATTATGGCAATTTAAATTACGATAAACGATATAATTAATTTGTAGTTGTGTTTGTTTTATTTTTCAGTAAGATAGTAAATTATGCTTTTATAAGGAAAGAGTGATATTTGATCTTTTTGGGTTGTATTTCATATGTAACTCTTTAATTGCATGATGTATTTTCTGCAATATTAAATCTAAATGTTGGCAAGTAAATTTAAAATAAAAATTCTTTAAATACAAAAGCTAAAACAAAAAAATTAAATTTCTTTTATTATAAAAATTTAGACGAAGGACGTGACGTAAAACGCCTATGAAGAAGGAAAAGATGATTAAATTGAAATTCTTTAAATACAAAAACTAAAATTCTTTAAATACAAAAACTGAGACAAAGAAATTAAAATTCTTTAATCATAAAACCGAAAACGTGGGAATTAAAATTGATTAAAAATTGGGACAAAAAAGTTAAAATTCTTCAAACGCAAAAATTGCAACGTTCGAATTAAAATTCCTGGCACGCAAAAATGTGATGACAGAAATTAACATTCCTTGAACGTAGAAATTAAAATTCCTTAACTATAAAAATTGAGAGAAAAAAAAATCCTTGAACGCAAAAATTCAAACCTCAAGTTAAACTTCCTTGATCACAAAAATTAAAATTCCTTAACCATAAAAACTGAGAGAAAAAAAATTCCTTGAACGCAAAAATTAAAACGTCCAAAATTCTTCAAACACGAAATCTGAAACGAAGTCAAAATCCTTCAAACGCAAAAGTTGAACCTGAAAAGTACTTTAAGCTAAAAAATTGAAACAAAGAAATAAAAATTATCGAACAGAAATTACATTTAGATTTACCAACGTGTCAGAATAAGTGCAAACCTCGTTCAGTGATAAAAAAAAAGCTAATACCGATGATGAAATAGCAAACGAAAATTCGCGTTGAAAGTTCCTCGACACCTCCGTACAATTTTTCTACCCCTCTCGTTTCAATGGAAAAATTTCCCGACCATGGACCGTGAAAGACTGTGGAGGGGATCAATCGATGGTAATTAATCAGGGAGAAAGCAGATGTAACTGATGCGAACCATACCACACATACAGTTCGTTATCCCGGTATAGACTTTTAATTAAAAACGAGCATCGGGGTTTGAGCGAGTAGCGAAGAGACCACCGGTGAAATCAGCTCTATTGTTTCTGAAAACCACCTGCCGAACTTTCGAGAGTACTTTATGCCTAGTTAAACGTACGGTTCGTGTGGGAATTTAAAAAAAAAAATAGGGTCGAGTAGTAACCTCCAATCGTGTCTAAATAAGTTTGAAATGGCAACTATTTACGAACAATCGATAAATTTATCGATTAGATTATTCATAAAACTTGTTTTCTATTTTTATTTTGTTTTGTGGCAATGCTAGTTGGAGTGGAGTGATTAATGGGGTTGAACTGGTTATAATTTACAATTTTGAACTGTATTTTATATGGATTAATTTTTGTATAAAAGAGGGAGAAGTTAGTATTCTTTGCTGCATTTTATATGGGTAAATATGGTGATGTCGAATAGTATCTTTCTGATATGTAGTGATGGGTATGAATCACGTACTTTTGCAGATTTTTGTACAAATCTACCAGTTTGCAGGTTTAGAGATTTGATAACTGAAGTATTATAGAAAATGGTAGGGTTTGGAATTTTGGGATTTTAGAAATTTAGAATGTTAGAAATTTGAGATTTTAGGAATTTAGGAATTTGGGAATTG